GATATTTAAGTATTGAACTAGGCTTGTACACCTGGGATAAATCCCACTTGGTGATGGTGTATAATTCTTTTGATACAATACACAACATGCTTTTCATGATACCAGAAAATTATTTAATATACTTAGAAAATTATATCATGAATGAGAAAAAAAAAAAAAGGTTTGGTTTGTGGTTGTGCTCAGATAAAAATGAGTTGGCTCCTGGTTTTTGTCCATAACTTTGCTGTTTTCTTTTTCTCCAATTTTGACGAACAACTACCTTAAACAAAACAAATTAAAACTTGTAAAGAAAGTGCACTAGAATGAGGAACTGAAAGTGTTTCTTTCAATGAAGATACATCTTAAGCTACATGGATGCTGTCAATTTCAACTTCTGTGATCATCTGCTATTACTTTTTAAAAACTCCAATACAAAATATTCATAAAGCAAAAAAAGGTAAAACATTATATAAATAGAATACAGTAAATTCAGTACAGATTACAAATATTAAAAAATTCACTAAATTAACTCCTCCCCAAATAAAGAACCCCAAATCAGAGGAAACTGTCAGCACAACTCTCTATTAACTGTTCTTTCAATAAATTACAGATATGAAAAAAAAGAGTATGAATCAGAAATTCAAAAACCAGTATAAAAACATAATACCAATAATGGGAATGTGTAAGACAAACTCAAACTCAACAAACTCAAACTTAGAATCAAACTCAGAAAACACTTTGAAGGAAAATGTAAAATAATCTTAACAACTCACAAAATTGCAACAAGCCCAAAGGAGTAAAAGTACAGCCACATATATACTAGGAAGAAGGGACAAATAAAGTGAAATAACCAAATAAACCAAAAACCTTAAAGGTACAAAGTGAAATAGAGTGAAAAAAAAAAAACCCACAATATTTGAACTGAAAAAACAGACTTTTATTAAGTCATACTTATTGAGCAGCATATAACTAGTTCTCTCTTAAAATATAGCAAAATACACTAAAGAAATTCAGGCAAGGTCCACTGTTAGCCAGTGGTGTGAACACAGTTAACAATCTCCTGTTATTTGTGTACTTTACACAAAAAAAATGTATTTCACCATGGTGTCAGGGCTAAACCTTGTAATGAGTATGGAATAGCTAAACCATATAATTATCTGCTCAAAAGTATAATTATAGTAGTTTAAGAATTTTCTGTTCTTCTTTTACAAATCAATATTTAATAGTACTCATTGTCATTTGAAAACAAATACAATTTTAACAGAATAGTTTGACCATAGGAGAAACTTCTCAATATTAAAACTATGAAATCAATGTATTTTTTTAAAAAAGAAAGATATATGTTTTTTTAATTTTCACCTAAATATTATAAGTGAAAAAGTTCTGTTTCAGACATTTTGAAAAAGATTGATGTTATACATACACATTTTTCCACAGAACCAATCCTAAACTACTTGCCAATTGAAAGAATTATTTAGACATTTTAATAGTGATATCTTTAAATGATCACACACATTATATTTAAATGAGTAATCTATTTAGAAAAACAAATTGCTTCTCTGTAGACAGCATATTTCTCATAAAAAGTAGAAAAATGTAGAAATTATTAACTTAACTCTTCAATATAGTGTTGGTATCAGTAATAGTTACTTTTGTTCCTTTATTTTGATACACTTTTTTCCCATTAAATCCTCCATTCCTCAGTTTTCTTTAATGTTTTCAGGCAGAATTCCTTATTAAGCAATCCACAAAGGGATGTCAGTTTGCCTCAGCAAAGAATATCTTTAAAAATGGTTAAAAACAGGAACTCCTTATGAAGTAATTTTTATATGTCAAGGGCTAGACTAGTTTTAGGTTTTCCTATTAATCACTAAGCTAAGTTTTATTGTTTCTATTTCACAGATAAGGAAATTGAGACTTAGAGATTTTTATTTAACATGCCATATGAATAACATACTTGACATTCAAAATCTGGTTGAATCTTCAGAGATGATTCTTAATCATTGTACTAAACTGACTTTTCAAAAGCCACTATGTTGGAGCAAGGTAAATATTTGATGTTAGCAATTGTGTTTCCTATAATTTTATGCTGAAAGACTTTCATCTGTCTTGGATTCTATCTTTAAGGCCAGTGGTGGTCTCTTAAGTGAACTGTTGTTTGTGATGCTCCAACATCTTTGACTGCCTTCATTTACCTAGCAGTGACAAATTTAATAAATATATGAAATTACTGAAATATAGATTTAATGCATTAAAATTACAACTTTATAGGGGCATCTGCATGGCTTAGTCGGTTAAGTATCTGCCTTCAGCTCAGGTCATGATCTCAGGGTCCTGGAATCGAGCTCCGTGCCAGGACCCCTGCTCAGCGGGGAGTTTGCTTCTCCCTCTCCTTCTGTGCCTCCCCCCTATTCGTGCTCCCTCTCTCTCAAATAAATAAATAAAATCTTTAAAATTGCAGCTTTATAGAAAAAGTGACTGAATGAAAGCCACACTGCTTACCTTGTAGAACTGTCTTTGATGTCAATGCTGTAATTTAGGAGAGTATCAGTGATTGTTTTGCACTCAGTGGACATTTTTAAGGTTCCCAGTGGTTTCTTTCTGATTATGTAAATTAGTATTCATGGAGGTCATTTCATTTAGGATGTATCATTAAATGTTCTGAAATGACTAGCTTCAAATAAGGGTAGACACTAGAGATCAATTGTTCTCCAGAATAAGAAAAACAGGAATAACATACTCCAGAGCATTCATCTGTCAGTTCAGATATGCCACTCATTGCTGAAATGATGGAGATTCACACCAGCATACTGTGTGGGGAGTCAAATAATAAGGGCAAGAATAAAACAGCATTTAATCACCGGCTACCTCCTGTGGATCAGGCAGCATGCCAAGTGCTCTTTACATGCATTATCTTTAATCTGCTCAATAATCCCTTACTGTAGGGATTATTATCCCTAGTTTATAGAAGAATAACAGAGGCTTAGAGAGATTAAGTGATTTTTCTCAAGGACTGCAGATCTAGTAAATTGTATTTGGAACCAGAGCCCCAGGACGTTTGTCTCTGACATTCACAAATAAAGGGATTGTGTTATAAATGAATGACATTAACAAGTATCAGAGAGAAAGAGTTTTAGTCATAACATATTCCATCATGTGGCATAAAACTATTTAATTACTCACCTACTAACGTAAAACAATACTGGGTTAGGTCAAGGTGCCTCGGCCTGATGAATTTCTTACACAGTGAGTGAAAGAATCTCTAGAAACATCTTTTGCACTTTTGCTTAGTATGTGCTCTCCATTTACCTATTCAGCTAACCTCTCTCGGTGCTTTTTCTTCTTTTTCTTGGCATTCTGAGTGGTCATGTCTAGGCCAATATGCTATCTTACACATTTGAGTCTCTAGCTCAGGCTTAGTTTCTAAAGTATCATTCATGAATCAAAAAAGTGGATAGCCACCCGTGGAGATATTGTGATACTTACAATCTTTTTTTTACACTTATTTTATTAACCATTTCTTCCATACCTGTTATGAAGTCTCTTGAAGAAAGATATTTCTCTCTGCCCACTGCCTTGCAGAGGCAATGAGTAAATAGTGCAAGCTTACTATATTGAAAGAAAAAAGACAAAGAAGAATTAATTCAATGATTCTGTATAATATTATCTATTTTCCTAAGGAGCTCTACTGCACCTGAAGATGGTGAGCATCACCAGCTTACTGTTTCCAGAGGGTATTGTGCACCTGGAGAGCGTGTGTCGTGTTGTGTTTGGAGTGGAGGATAGGGTAAGATTCTTCCAAAGACGCTTCTACGTGCTGAGGCAATGAGTGGCATACAATCCTCTCTGAAAAGAACTAGGTTATAACAATAGAACTGAAGACATGCCATTCATCTACATTGTTAGAAGTGCATGCTTTTTAAAAGATGCAACATGTTTTCCGAAGATATTTCCTGAAAAAAAGGTACAGTACAGGTAGAGCTATGTTCTTTCAGGATTCAGAGATTTCTGCAATCACATAAAAACAAAACTGTTCCTTTTCATATTAAGATCTGAAACTTTAGATTGTATACCTATTTATGTTACATGTTTGGTTAATGACCAATAATTTGGTTTCCAAAATTTAAAGGTAGATCAGACTTTGCTGGACTAATGTCCAAATTGACCATGTCCACATTCTCAGTATCTAACAAAACATAAGGAAAGGGTTAAGAAAACAATATATATGTATATAGAAATAGAAAGAAAATATTTTTTTTTATATTTTATATTTTTTAAATTGGACTTTCCTTCCCATTATCCTTCAAGTTTTGTTTTGAGTTAAAAATCTTTATTCCAGAATCATTGCTTCCCCTGGGGTTTTCCGTTATTTCAGGGAGCTCTGCTTTACATATGTTTTGAGTGATAAAATATGTTTACAGTAATATTAGTCTGACAAAATAACCTTGATACAAGATGACAAAAATCAAACCATGTTTTTAGATTTTGGAATATAAATTTAACAAATATATTTTGAGCTCCAAATGTGAACTTTGTATTTTTCTGAGACTGTAATAGCAAAATTGCCAAAATGCTCTCCTCTTATGGAGATTATATTTTTGTGTGAAACAAAATATATAAAAAAATAAGCAAAGTTTGTAATTTTTTATAACATGTTTAATGCTATGGAGAAAAAAATGCAAGGAAGAGATCTAGGGAATTTTGGTGTGGCTATTTAAAAAATGTGGCCAGAAAAGCTCACTTGAACCTCACGACTATAAACTATTAGGTCATATAGAAATGCTGCTGTGATCAAAATAAATATACAAAAAGTTAATTAACTTATATACTACTGCAATAATCAATAAGGAAAAAGAAAAATGTATGTGTGTGTATATATATATATATATTTAGGCACATTTATATTAAAAAATCCATAACTAATGAAAGACATACATGCTCATAGGAATAATTTTAGATAACTTTTTGAAGGACATAAAATCAATACAAAACACATGGCATGGGGTACCCGGGTGGCTCAGTGGGTTAAGTGTCCGACTCTTGTTTTGGCTTGTGTCATGTTCTCAGGGTCATAAGATAGAACACCCCCATTGGGTTTTGTACTCAGTGGGGAGTCTGCTTGAGATTATCTTTTTCCCTCTCTCTCTGCCCCCCCACTCATGTGCGCTTTCTCTCTCTCTTTCTCTCAAAATAAATAAAAATAAATAATAAATCTTTAAAAAACACACATGACAATATATGAAGGATTCTGAAGTCTCAAAATCAAAATGCCATTATTTTTTTAAAGATTTTATTTATTTATTTGACAGAGAGAGACACAGCAAGAGAGGGAACACAAGCAGGGGGAGTGAGAGAGGGAGAAGCAGGCTTCCCGCTGAGCAGGGAGCCTGATGCGGGGCTCGATCCCAGGACCCCGGGATCATGACCTGAGCTGAAGACAGACACTTAACGACTGAGCCACACAGGTGCCCCAAAATGCCATTATTTTTAATACTAGTATCTAACAATCAATATATTTTTAAACCCAATTCTACATGTATTTTCATAGAATTAGAAAATAATATTAATATATAAATACATAGAGTCATAAATAAGTGAATCAATTTTGAACATAGAAGGTGCAATATCCCTGCGTATGATATTAAGTCGTTATATCTATGGACACATAGAAAAAACATGTATGGGAAAGGAAACTGGTAAATTACTGAAAAAGCACTGTCAATTAATGAGGAAAGTGTGGATGCTCCACAAAATAGTGCTCAAGACAAATGATCCTTCATATGGCAAGAGCAAATAGATCATTACTTACACTATACAGGAAAAAGAAACTCTAGATGGCCTAGAGATCTTTACCTGAGAAGCAAAGCTTTAAAATATTTTTAGAAATGTTGGAGAATAATTTTGTATGAGGTTAAAGAAGATAAGAAAAGCATGAATAACACAAACAAAAGAAAATTTGACATCCTTTTCTAGGGCAAAGGACTAATAGAGATAAAAGCAAACTCCAGGCTGGGATGGGGTTTTTTCTCTAAGCATTTAGCAAACTTTTAGCCATTATCAACACTGTATTAGGACCTCCTACAGATCAATAAATAAAAAGGGAAAAAAAGTTAGCAAAGGATATAAAAGGCCATTCCCAGAAGAGGAAATCTGAACTGTCAATAACTGTAAGTGAATATTTATAATTTTTTAATGGAAAAATGCCAATGAAAGGATTTAAGTAAAGGTTTTATATGTATGAAAATGGCATATACTGTTTTTGAAAGCACATATGGATGTTGATATGGTAGAAATGTGGACATCAAGAATACACATCTACTACAGAATTATGTGTAGGTATTTCCAGGAAGGAGAGGTAGGATCTGGTTGGCATCTGGTGTTCAAATAGGCTGTGATGCTATTCCTGTGTGTTGAAGTATCTGAAACATAATTGATAATTGTGTATCTGGAAGATACAGACTTTTATTTTATATATATTTGCACTAGAAATGACTTTTTCTTTCTCTTGAACAGCATAACTTAAAGGCATTTATATATATTATATACACTCTAAACATATTAGAAATGAATTTTAAGTGTGATTTGGAGTCAAGTCCAGTTTCTCAGATTGTCAAATTTTATAATTTCTTGTTTCTTCAGGCAATTATTTTCATAATTATAAATATATATCAATAAAACACTGACTTTGGTCTTTCATAATGGTTTACTAATTTACCTATGTATGCAAATATTCCAATTATCAGCTTCCTGAAGGATTTATCCTTTTCAGGAAATCTTTAACATTTCTCAGTGTGTTTGGGGGAGAAATAAGCAAACTCTAATGCTCTGTTAACCCTCAATGGTTATGGTACTTTGCAAACCTTTGTAGTTCCAACAACTTTTACCCTGGACTAGAATTCAAACTCCTACATAGACAACTGGGAAATCCTATGAAGCTTCTGCCTTTTCATTTTTCTGAGAATTTTGCCAAAAATTTGGTGACTAAACATTACCTTTTGGATTACACTTTGGGGGGAAAAAAAAACAATCTTGCTAATCACTGGAGTTTTGGGTCCAGAGATTTATCAAACAGCTCTAGAAGTTGGTATTTGTGTCTTTCCTTCCTCAAGTATATGGAGAGGATGAAGAGATGCTGTGGTTAGATATGATCTCTATCAAGTGAGCTGTTCAAGGGGACTGGCCAGAAAACTCTTCCAGACTTGTACATCTATTTGGAGGGGCGCCTGGGTGCCTTAGTTAGTTAAATGTCTGAATCTTGATTACAGCTCAGGTCATGATCTCAGGGTCCCGTGATTGAGCCCTGTGTTGGGCTCTGCACTGAGCCTGGAGCCTGCTTAAGATTCTCTCCTTACCCCTCCGACCCTCACCTCAGGCCTGGCCCCCTCCCACCCTGCTCACGCATGCTCTCTTTCTCTCTCTCAAAAAATTAAAATAAAGAAATATATATATGATGGAATTATGGTTGTAGCCTGAAACGGTTGAAATGAAGAAATGGATGGCACCAATTATAAAGCTCCAAAACTTGGCAAATTACTTATTTCAGAAAAAAGCACAGATTTGAGAAGACTATATTTTTAGGCCTACATGATAAATGATTGAGACACCACTGAAGAGCAAGATTTCTGTCCTAAATGAAAGGCATTGGGGGGGTGAATTTTGGTAAGCCCCACTGTGAGCAATAAATGCAAAAGGCAAAAGGATTGTGGGATTTCCCAGCACAGAACTAAAAGAAAATTAGAAATTATTGTCTGGGGATAAAGGTTAAGAGAACTTTGCAAACTACTGTAACCTTTGCAGCTTTCCCATGTGTGTTATTTTTTCTTTTCCTTGTCTTTATCTTAGTACTGATTTATAGAATATACTTGTATTAAGGATTATGTTAGCTAAGGGAGGAGGGGTTTTATGTATGCAGCAGAACACTATGGTTCAAAGTTAGTGTTTGGGGCTCTTTTATTTCTGTTTACACTCTCTAGTTAAATTATTTTACAGTGAAGCTGTGATTTTAAAGTTCTTACCTTTTATGTGATTGTCTAATGCCTTACAAAGGCCTTCTAAAGGCCTCCACACCAATGACATAAAATCTGTGTAAAATGAGTTGCACTTTATGCAAATTGGAATTATGAAAAATTTAAATCGTGTTTAACAAGCACTAATAAACACTTTATTTGCAATGTAGAAATTATGTGATGATCTTGAGAATTATAAACTATTGTACATTTCAAAAGATGGGAAGCCAAATGAGACATGAACCATGTTTACACAGTTGTCCCATGGCAGTGAAAATTCAACTGGTAAAGAGAAATAGCCTCCCCTTATTTATCAGAGTATTTTTAAACCCCACTATGTTTATGTCTATCAGAACTTCTCTCAGAATTGTTGGTGACAAGCGTGCTGTCATTTTAATCTTCACTGTTACCATAATCAGTTGATTAACTTGTTATATTTGAGGCATTAAGAAGAGGTATTGGTTTTCATGTTGGAAATGTGCTAAAACTCAATACATTTGCTACAACATTTAGGAGTGAAATGCCAAGGAGAAGGTCTGACAACTGAGATGCTACACTATGTGATTAATTTAGGAATAAAATATGAAAAATATTACATAGAAAGGTGAAAAAAACATGCTAAATTGACATAAATTTAAACATGTAACCTTATGTTTTTAAAATCATCATGACTAAGAAGAGAATATACAACAAATTAGCTTTTGGGTGCCTGGGTGGCTCAGATGGTTAAGCATCTGCCTTCGGCTCAGGTCATGATCCCAGGGTGCCGGGATCGAGTCCCACATCAGGCTCCCTGCTCAGCGGGAGGCCTGCTTCTCCCTCTCCCACTCCCCCTGCTTGTGTTCCTTCTCTCACTGTGTTTCTCTCTGTCAAATAAATAAATAAAATCTTAAAAAAAAAAAACAAATTAGCTTTTAATTACTTGGAAATATAATTATTGAGTTTTTAAAAAATATATTCCTCACAGAATGAAGATATCCTGAACTAGATAATTATTTGATATGTTTTAAAATAACTTAGTTAATGCAAATATCTTATTTGACGCATTTTTCAAAGTGAAAGTGGTATTCAAATTAACAAAAACAGTGTGGGCATGTAATTTCAAATAGGCATGTAATTCTGTTTGCTGTTTACTTCTCCCTTTTCCTTTTTCTTATCACTTCTTTCTTTCCTTTCTTTTCTCCTTTTCAACCCATAATGCTTCCAATTTTTCTGTTAACATAGATTTTTAAACAAGCCCTCTGTCTTTCTGCAAAAACCAGCCTAGAGATTAAACCCACTCGAAGTTGTTGTTGTGTGTAATTACCAAAAAGAACTAAGAGTACTATGCTGAAATACAGTTATTTCTATAAGAAACTAGAAATCTCTCAGAGTATACTAGGAACTTATTTCAATTAATGGTTTCCCCATTAACTTACAGATTTCTGAATTTACAAAAAAACACTGCTGTATTTGTCTTTGTTGCTCATACCCACATATTCTAAATATACTACTTTTCATTCTTTTGAATGCTGAGTCTCAACCTAGTGTCGTATGTATAAAAAAAGTACCTTACGATTCATAGGTGATTACTTGAAATTGTTGTGTGGCATATTATCTCATAACGCATAGTTAATCTTAACTATTACTCTTAACTCTTAACTAGAAATCTAGCTAAGCATCCACTGCCTCTTTTTCATGTCTATGTTCTTTAAATAATAGTTTTAAATAAAATATGATGTAAAATATGCTATTCTAGGATTTTTTTCTGTATTATAATTCAGTTATTCCTTTACATAAGAGAAATTTTACTCTTCTCCTCAAAGAATAGATCCTGCTTTTCTCCCCATATTTTGCTTTTTAACCTGTGAAAACTATTCCAGAAAATAGTCTTTTAGATTAGTCCCAGTATGTAGTTTTCATTTACCCTCCTTATTTATGCTTCATGTTTTATTTATTTTTCTAATTAGAGACTCAGCCAGGTTCAAATGCTGAAAGCAGCAAGCAAGCTGAAGGGACCCACATTTTGTCTTTTGGAGTCTTAGGTGTGCATAATCAGTGCCCCTTGTAGAAATGCACAACATGAGCTAATTTTTATAAAACTGGAACAAGCCTCTCATATAATTTTTATAATGCCATAAAACCTAATGTTATGTTAAATTATTTTTCATATTCTACAAGGACATTAGGAGGAGACAGTACTGAAAGATATAGTCTTTTCAGGGTTCTTTGCATTTCATTCTACAATGGATACCCTTTCCTTTAATTTTCCAACTTTACTACCAGCTAATTACAAGAATTTAAATTATTTCAACAAATGATATTTTAAATATTTTAACATATGTGGTTCATAATTTTTAAAATTATTTCCAGCCATGTACATTTTATTTGTTTATTGTTTAAACCAGGTACATTTTAGAATTCACATATCTCCTGTATAAAAAAAATGTGTATTGGCAACCAAAAATGTTGCATTTGTTTACAAATAAAGGTGTTCTTTTGTTAGTCTCCATTTCCAGCTTCTTAAATATTAATTAGTTCTTTATGCATGGAAGGGGTTTCACAAATAAACCACAATTTTATCTTCCCTGTGGATTTTACTTTATTTCAAACTAGAATAAATTTTAAGGAGTATCAAAACCTAACAATTGTAATAATAGCAACTACAAACTGAATAAATGATAAGTTTACCATATCAATTCTTAAGATACTAAATTATTTGTTCTGTAGAACATAGAAAAAATAAGACCAAAAATTAAAATAATACTTATAGAAGCTACTACTTTAACTTGAAGTCTTGAGAAATTGTGTGGCTTATTTAAGGTCATAGACATAGGAAGAATCAAATTTATGAAGCTAAATTAGATGTCTTGAACCAGCTTGTATTTTTCCCCCACCAAAATATGCTGTCAAATACCAGAATGTCTACTGCCATTCTTATATTCTGATTTAACTGGCATTCTGGAAAACCCTTATTTACATTATCATATACTCTTTATCTCTCTTAGTTATTATTCTGGAACCTTATATAGAAATACAACATTCATTGTCTTTTTTTTTTAATCATTGTCTTTATCCACATTTCTACTTTCTACATCTAAATTATATCAAATTTTATTTTAAATTGCCTCATGGATTATATGTTCCTTTTTCTTGTTAGTATCACTGTCCTGGTCGAGGCAGTTCACCAGCTAATTACTGAGTTATTCAGTTTAATTTCTGCTCCCATTTTCTTTGGTCTCCTTTCAACTCCAGTGGTGTTGTCACTTAACTAATGTGAATTCACTCCTTGGTGAGTTACAGGTAGAGACTATACTACATGGAGTTGTCATACAAAGGAAACTATTTGCAGCAAATAGGGACATCATGGGGAATAACTTCCACCTGGAAGCCTGTATGTCCGGCTCCCCTTCATCCATTTAGCCTATCCGCCTCACCTCCCATCCCCTCTGGCCTTATGCAATGGCAAATTAACATTTTCAACACCAATATAAAGAAGATTTAATTTTTTTTCTTCCTGCATTACATATAATTTGACAACACAATAAAGACAAAATATGCACATATTCGCAAAATAAAAGTATGTGTCCTAAGGATTGTGTAAGCTTCTGAACACTATGCAAGATTAAACATGACAACATAGAGTATTGTTTGGAATCTTTCCAAAGAAGTTTTAATTTAGTAGCATAGGCATTGTTTACAGTTCTTTTTTCCTCTCCTGCATTACCAAAGTGAATTTCACTTACTATAATAATAGCAGGTTTTAGTAACTGAATCTCCTATTTGCTTAGAGAAAAAAACCTATCTTTACATTCTTTACATACATACATGTCATAAATAATTCTCTCTCTCTCTCTCTCTCTTTTTTTTTTTTGATGTGTTAAATCTGTTTGGTCATGCATGATATTTAAAATATTTGGTTAGTAAATCAGCCCTGGGACTCACAGAATTCATCTTACAGATTGTTTTTTCTAAGTAAGTTAAAGACACAATATTGTATTACTTGCAGTAACAGGCTATTCTGAGACAATAAACATCATTAATATTCAGAAGTTTAAAAGATACACAAAATTGTTTAAATAACTATCTGGATTTAGATAATACATGTTTGTAATGTATTTTTTTTTCTCTAAGGCAAATCTAGTAATAGGTGATTTTAGCCTTTGAATTGCATTTCACCAATTTTGAGGTTGGTTTTGCTTTAATATATTTGTAAAATGCCTCTTCGTGTGACTACTTTGAATAATCTTTTCATTATCCTTCTTGAGTTGAAGTCTTTTGTTATAGTTCTCAGATATGGTAATTTATTGTCCTGTTTTTGA